CGTTTATTACATAGTATTAATTGATGTTGAAACACTAGCTACTAATTTAAGTCAAAACTTGCTACTCTCTACTTTTTTTTTATGAAGTGAATATTTCATGTAATTATGTTTCACATTGTTTTTCTTGGTGTTTATTCTAAATTGCACTATTCTATTCAAGCTCTATATCATGACATGTCATAATATCTAAGTCCCTCTCTCAATATCACAAGTCACTCACAAATTAATACCTCACTTCTTTGTCTTAATAAGAAAAATCAGTTCTACCACTGAGGTTCAACAAAGTGCACTGATGTTTCTAAATTTAATAAAGCAAATGTATCATGTTTGCTTATTTTGGAGGTTGAGAGCAGGGCTGAGGGTTTAGAAGGGATCAAAATAGTCATATTTTTAGTAAATCTTTAAATTCATTTCTTGTTACGTTTATATGTTTCTGATCAAGGAAGTTCTAGAAACTCTCTTTTAAATAAGCATTGAATTGATCTTCTGAAAAAGATTTTCTTATCCTCTCCCCTGTATCTAGACTTGGCTTGTAAATCTGACCCTCAGAAGGAGCCATTATTTTCCCCACTACTTTCTGACTGTGGTTTGCTGTCGGTACGTTCTCATATTTTTTTTTTTTTTTTTTGTGGTACGCGGGCCTCTCACTGTTGTGGCCTCTCCCGTTGCAGAGCACAGGCTCCGGATGCACAGGCTCAGCGGCCATGGGTCACAGACCCAGCTGCTCCGCGGCATGTGGGATCTTCCCGGACCGGGGCACGAACCCGTGTCCCCTGCATCGGCAGGCGGATTCTCAACCACTGCGCCACCAGGGAAGCCCACGTTCTCATATTTTGAGGGAACCCATTGACCTCATCAGGATACCTTACCAGGATGCTTGTTTCATCAAGTGGAAAGAAAGTATTTATTTAACAAAAAAATTGAGTAAACATACAATACTTTCCGAGGAGGAGGAAAAAATAATTCATGTTCTGTGGGAGTACTTCTTAATCAATTTGAAAGTTAGACAGTCTAACTTGCCAAAGATCTCTGCTAAGATTATTCTCTCTGCTGCAGGTGCCCAGAAATACTAGAGTGAAATCATTCACCTGGGACTCACTTTTGGGATATGCCCACCTGTCCCTCACCAGATCCGTCAAAGAACACCTGAGGTGCGAAGAACTTTGGTATTTCTCTTGGATGCCTAGGATATCAGTTGGATGCCTAAAGACATGCTTTAAAAATACGTATCTGTGCCATCATTTCTTAACATTCCCAGTGCGAGAGGGATGTTTTTACACCTCTGTTAGCCACCTCCTCTGACATCAGATTTACCTGGTTTTCTCTGTAATCTTAGCAAAGTCTTGTACTACTAAACAGGCGCATACCATCACTGTCCTACAACCAAGACTAACGTAAAAGACCCGGGAAGAGTCTCAGATTCAGAGACTAACGTCTGGTGCACTAACTCAATGTTCAAAACTAGTGCTACTTATAGCCCTAATCCATGGGCACAGTAATTCATTAACAGTTACATGAAATGATTTTTCAGAATCACCCAGCTCTTGTGTAGTAATTCTGAGTTGGGCAATTTTACTGTACTGAGTTTAATCTAAGACGTCCTGCTATTGCCAGGCACTTCCTGGCTTTTCCCTTCTGTTTCTGTTCATGAAAAAAGGAAAAACAAAACAAAACAAAACTATACAGTGTGTTCCAAACTTACTTGATCACAAAGTGTGTGTTTAGTTTGGGCACAGAGGCAGTAATGCATTAACACTGAAGGTGAAGGAATCGCAATTAACACGGAGAAATATGCCTGAGTGTTTTAAAGGCTGGGAAGGACCTGGTGGTGCTAGCTTCTCTTCTTCTTGAGCTTATTTTTAATTTAGCCTGTGAATGTCTAGTTCACCTACTTTTCTCAGACGTCTTGGAACTTTACGAAGCAAGCCATAATACCCATGGAATGAACAGCTGCCTTGTAAGCATCATCTGCACAGATATTTAAGATCTATACGCATCTGGGCAACAACGGTATCAAGGGGGAATTTTATAATAAGTTCCGAATTATTTTCACTGTTAAATTCCCAAATTGGGAACCTATATGTTATCGAGTTTATGCATTAAAATAATCAAACCATTGAGTCATGCAAATAGTAATCTATCCCGGTCCTTGCTGAAATAATTTAAACACATCTGTGAATTAAAGGTTATTGCTAATTAGTAAGTACTAATGAAGGTAGAAAAGATTAGCTTTAAATGATTAAATTTGATAATAAACATGAAAACAAGATCTGAATTAGTTATGTGCTATGATCAAGAACAATTGTTGATCTTTAACTCTACAGATACAAAATATTTATCAAATTCAAACAGTAGTTAATACGTTTGTATTATCTAGTAGCACCTTTGAACTTACATGATGAAGTAGTTTCCTTCCCTGACATGGAGTTTGTTACCCTAGACAAGTTCTCCGTTGATGCCGTTAAGAATCCATGAGTAACAAAAACCCAAAACAGGGCTTCCCTGGTGGCGCAGTGGTTAAGAATCCGCCTGCCAATGCAGGGGACAAGGGTTCGAGCCCTGGTCCGGGAAGATCCCACATGCCGCGGAGCAACTAAGCCCGTGCGCCACAGCTACTGAGCCTGAGCTCTAGAGTCCGTGCTACGCAACAAGAGAAGCCACCGCAATGAGAAGCCCTCGCACCTCAACAAAGGGTAGCCCCCGCTCGCTGCAACTAGAGGAAGCCCGCGCGCAGCCACGAAGACCCAACACAACCAAAAAAGAATAAACAAAATAAGTAAACTTAAAAAAAAAACCCAGAACATCTGAATATTAAGTATAACTCTTAAAAGCAGAAAAAAGTCATCCATTCATCCCTGCCAAGTTCCTAGCCTTATTTTAAAGATCAGAAATAAAATCAAACAGTACAATCTGATCGATAGAATTTCTGTGACTTTCAAGTGACCTGTTTTCTTTGAGAATTAAAAGCTAGAAATATATATAGAAGTCCAAAATAAACACCCATAATATCGAAAACTGGCCGTAATAACTCCTTTTGGACAGCCTGTACACAGAAAGAATGCATTGCTTTATAAAAATGACATGGAACACGGTGAAATATTGCTTATTTCTATAATCTTTGACAAGAAGTGAAAATACCATTTGCTGAAACCCAGGTAGAGGACTCATTTTTATCACCTGCCAGAAGAAAAAGCAGCTTTCCTAAAGTGGAGCACCTGCCTACAGAATCCTAAATCTGTGTTTCCATGGATTTAAGGACCTGAGGTAAACCACTGGAACAGCATGGAAAACTCCCTGGACAGGATCTAGGGGGAATGAACGAAGCCTGAGCCACACACATCCTAACTGTGCCGTACCTATGTCATGACAGCTTCCCTTTAGCTCAGTGGTTCCCAAACTTCAGCTTGTACCAGATTCACCTGGAGGTGGATCACACAAACACAGCCTGGCGGCCTCACTCCTAGAGTTTCTGATTCAGTAGGTCTGCGACGGGGCCGGAGAATCTGCATTTCTAACACATTCCCAGGAGATGCTGATGTCAGGGACCACACTGAGAACTACTGCTCTGGCTTAAATTTTGATTAGCCATTTAGACCATTTGTTATAAAATGTGGCCATCGTTTGTTATAAAATGTGGCCACCGTTTGGAACCCACACCTCTAAAATCCACTTGTGGGGTAAGGGGAGGTCCCCTCTCTCAGGGCTCTGGTCATCTCATTCATGGCTTCTGTGCTGTGTTGTCTTCCAATGCACCGCAAAGATTAATTTTGTTCTATTGAACCACTTGTGAGTTGGCTTTGCAGCATGTTAAGAAAGTGGGAACCAGGAGCTAAAAAACCATGCAGAGACCTATTCTAAAACCACATGGAGAAGGGGTAAGAGGAGGCTGGTGTTGGATCAAGGCGGGGACTGTCATTCTCCTGAGTCAGCCTTGCCTGGGTTCAAATTCCAACTTGGATACTTCCCAGTTGTCAAGGGACTGTAAAGGCATGGAGAAAAATAGACACATTTACACTTTCTACTTCTGCACCATGGATGATTCACTGACTCGGAAATGAGACTATAGAAATGGCAGACTGGGTGGTAGGAATAAGTTTCATTCCACTGACAGGAGCAATCGGTTGGTGAAACTCAGCACGAGAATCTGAAGCTCTAGAACCCAAGAAACACAGCTTTTCTGTATTAACTTAAAGAACAAGGAGGGAGGACAAGAATAAGTCTAGATTTTATTTATAATAACTAACCTTTTCTATGTGCTTCCTAGATGACATTTTATAGAGAGACTGACTAATGTTCTGTATTGTTCTCAAGTTTTGTTTCACACCTTTAGAGGAAGAATCAGTTATGCGTCAACCAGACGCCTCAAAGTAACTATTACATTAAAAATCCGCCCTCAGCTTAAACTCTAATTGGAACATTTTTGACTGCTACCATTTTTAAGGACAACATGTATCCAAGAAGCCTCATTCCCCTTTCTCCTGCTTCTTTCTGCCCAACGTCAAAGCCAAAGCCAGTCAACTCAAAAGAAGTCCCAAAGAAACACAAAACCGTGTGAAGAAAAAAGCATGAAACTCAAAATAAATTTCAAAAGATTCAATCTCAGATAAAAACTGAATCCTCAAACCACGCAAAAAATTATGGAGCCATGTTTCCATTTCAAGCTATTTCTTAGATTACTTTGTTTTCTTTCGTTTGTTCTTTAGAGAAACATACATATATATGTGTATATATATATGTGTATATATACATGTGTGTGTATATATATATATATGTAAAACACCATCTTGAGAGTTTTCAATTAGAAGCCATAAGAAGGAGAATGAGAGATAATTCTTAAACAATGGTTGGGCAAACCTTTAGAAAACTGGATCATGAAATGGAAAGAAGGCAACGTCTGCATCAAGTCAGTTTGCTTAACAGCAGGTCTCACTGCTCCTCCAACACCACAAGGAGCGTTTCTTTCAGAATTAAGCAATTCTATAAAAAGAGAACACTCTTACCCTCATCCTTCCGTTTCTTATTGCTGGCCCATCTTCTGCCAATCTCAACACGTACAAATCCATTTTGTACTCCCTCCCTCCACGAATACTGAATCCAAATCCTTTGGCTCCTTTCTCCATGTCCACAGTGAAATAATCAAAATCCTTTGGGGTTGGGGAGAAAATAGAATAAACAATTGTTTAATACCAGAGAAGCTTCCACGGTCTGTCCCTCTGTTCTCCTTCTCTCTCATAGTTAACGTGTTCCAACTGACACGATATCGTGAGGAGTAATGTGATTTCCCCATCTAGCAAAATGCAAGACAAGATTCCAAAGGCCTGAGCAGATCTGAACACAGTTTCCTCAGTCGTTAAAAGAATCGCTGGGTAGCTTGTTGACTTTCATACACATCCTTCAGTACTCATCTCTTGACTTGGCAAACATGTAACTATTGCATATAGGCCTAAGTGATATTATCTCTCCTTTGAATTTTCTCATTCACTGCTGTTGAGCACCATAAATAAATGCACCAGAGTTGTGTGTGTGTGTGTGAATGACAGGTCTGCTGATTGGAAAAACGAAACAGATGCAACAGGATCTTTGAGGTACCTGGGGCTGCCTGTAGTCTGACAGAGGGAACTGCCTGGTGTCAGGGGAGGGCTGCCTGTAGTCCAAGGGCGGGGCTTGCAGATAGTCCCCTCCTGGGGGCTGCCGGTAGTCCAGTGGGGGCTGCCTGTAGTCCGTGAACGGAGGCTGTCGGATATCTGGTTTCACATCTTGCCTTGCTTTTACTTCTGACCTGTAACTAAATGAATGGAAATGGTACTTGCTTTGGCATCTCAGCATTCTAAGGAGATTCGAATGACTTTAGGACCTCCGGGCATGTAGAGGCCACACCTCTTGGTGGTCCTTTTCATGTTCAGGATTAATGAGAAGATTCAATAAATGATAAGTATTATTTTAAAATCTTTGACAAATGCCATACGGTATACTTTTCATTTGGCTCCTTAAGAAATCAAGGTGAAAGTGATGGTCACTTAGAACTTTGTGGAAAAGGACTTAGGGATAACCTTCTTTGACTTTGCTATTTAAAAACTGTGGAACTGCAGCAAATCTAGGGACTCACACACTTCACTGTACATCCCCAAACAACAGTCTGTCTTAATATCAGTAAACCAACGGTTTCAATTTTTTTTTTTCTCTCTCTCTCTCTCTGACACACACACAGCATCCATTACTTCATGAAAACATGATTGAAGTGATCTCTAAACACTCGATGAATATCTAACTAAAGGCTCTTTTAACCTGTTAGCTTGGGGCTTTTTGAATATCATACAGAGGTTAAAGGAGTGAAAGTAAGGTATAATCACCAACTACGAATCAAGCAGAAAGTCACTGGGTCATTGCTAAAAGTAGAAACATATCACACAGAGGTTTAAATACTAGACCATAACTCTTGGGCTTAGTACCAGACACTATCATGGTCATTAGACAGAAGGAAAGGCAGAAGTGTTTATGTCTAACACTTGTCTTATTCTTGTTTCTAGATATTATTTCTTGTTTCTAGTTATTAATAAATACAGAGACCAAAACGAATTGTTTAGTTCTGTTTTGTGAATCCAAATTGCTCTAAATTGAGGGGCTTCCAGGGCCAGAAAAGGGCTAAAGTAGCCAATACCTACAATTATGGGATCATTAATAAGATAAACTGAAAAAATGATCACCATAATATAGAGGCCACTTAACTCTGTAGTTCATTGCCTGTTGCCATGAAAACACTCCATATAATGAGCTACTTAGGGATACAGGTCGATTAGAAAAACACATTCACACACTGATAGTGTATGGCAATAGATGTGTTTATTCAGGGTTTTGAAAGGGGGTTAGAAATGCAGTTATTTTAATAACGCTTTGAGTCGTTCCCATTTGTTACTTAACTTGCAGAAGTGACACATTCCTTTTGGGAGGTGCATAATTTAGGCTTTGCTTTATACCTCAGGAAGCTGCCCACTCACCTACTGAGAGTGTGCATTCTGAGAATAGAATTATTTAAAATACGCTTTGAATAAGATGCTTAACTAGGCAAACACATGAATTGAACAAAAAGAATTGGACTGGGTGACATGTGTTGGTGTGTATCGGCTCCTTTTGAGAAATCACGTGCTTGGGGCTTTAGAGGTTGCATTGTTTTAAGTTACAGCACAGTCACTTTATGTTCATTATCTCTGGGGTCTTGGTATGGAGTATCCATTATGAGCTTCGTTTCCAACCAGATGTGTCATGAGGTATAGCAGAAGAGGGTGAGATGTTAAGAGTCTCCCCAGAGCCTTAGAAACAGGGACGGTTAGAACTTGTAACAGCAGCCATCCAAGCCTGCCTCTGGGCATTCCCATTTCATTCAACAGTGTCACGTACAGGATTTTATGTTGAAGAAGAATTCTTTAATAAGGAGAATATACTTAATTTTTATGAGTGTTGTTAACTTTTAAGTGAATGATACACTAGTTAGGGCAAAAATTGTTACTCTGAATTTGTGAAACACTTTATTTTAAGGAGAACTCAGGATCATTAAAAACAAACAGCCTCTTAAAAGTTCCTTTACTTATGAAAGGTTCGTAGATTGTATATCAGTATAACTCTTCGTAGCTATTAATTCCACTATTAAAGAGACTTTAGAGATGATAAAACCAGATTGCTAATGGTAAATTCTAGCAGAATTTTATGGTATGAATAAGTTCCAGAATCAAAAATGCTGCCCGTGTGGTAGGGGATCTTACGGTGGGCTTTTGCCTCATGTGGGCCTTTCAAGAATTGCTTCCAGCCTGCAGCATCTAGTGCACAAAGTCTATGAAAGAAGTCAATTTCCAATGCTTTCCACTAATCTTGCTATTTAAAAGAAGTAAATAATGATTGCCTTTGCTGGGAAGGTGATCTCTGCTATTTCTTACGTTCATTGCTTACGTTCTTATGTTAAACTGCTATTTCTTATGTTATTGCTTATGTTCATGTTAAAATTATTTTGTTTCCTGAGCATGCACCAAAAGGATGTTACGAGACAGAGAAATGAGTAGAGGTGTGCAGAGTGTCAGGAGGAAGCCAATTCAAGAGTAAATAAGACAGGATAAAATATTCACTTCTCCTAACTCATAAGATAAAAATTTGCGAGCAGATTGTCACTTTATTTTATCCCACTTTAACATGGCAACTGGCTCAATTTGACATGTAGGTGGGCACTTCTTGTACAAATGAATTAATAGGAAATTCATACTGTGTGCTTGGCATACAGGCTGTCTTGGAGACATCTGTAGCCTGATCTAGAAAAAGGCAAAGAGTTTCTCTCTGATACCATGACCATTTTTAAATGCAGCTAGAAAAATGGTTCTAGTATCTGTGAGATTATGGAATCTCTTCATTCATTTGGAAAAGAGCCACCTACTAACAATCAAACAGCTAAGCCAGGAAACCTCAGTGGCAGGAAAGGACCCTAGAACAGGAGCGGGCGCTTCCCAGGCATTTAATATTACTGAAGCAAAAACAGCTAAGAACTCTGGGTAAATTTGTTGGTAATTTATAAAAATTTGGACCAGGTCAATCTGTTAATCCCAGAGTCAGTACATATTTTATCCCACAGTCAGGCAAAACAAAAACAAAGACAAAAACAAAGACAAAACCATCCAAAGGCTGTTGCTTCTTTGACAGAGGCCGAGTCCCCGATTGTAACTAGTAGCCGATGGGGACAGGATAGTGGCCTTTGCCCATTTGTCATTCTCCCCACTGAACTATAACACACTAGGGATGAGATTACCCACCTGCAGGCCAGAAGCAAGAGTCCAATTTCAGGGAAGTTTAACTCTGGAAAGGGAAGACGCAGTTGTGGCTGGGAGGTTTAATTGACAGTGGCAGAGCCAGGAGGAAGCGTCTGAAGCTGGCTCGGAGACTGCTGGAACACTCAGGTCCTTCCTCCTAAATCTCAAGTGAATCCCGGGGAAAGCCAGTGCAATGTGTCCAAACCACACATGCTGAAAGCCCACGCACCTGGGGCTTATGACTGCGGCACCCAGGACATACTCCTCTTCTGGACTGTCAAATGCTTGCCTCTGTATCATGTACCTTATGGGGCTTAGTCATTTTCTTCCCTGGACTACATTAAAACCATAAACAGCTGAGGACAACAGATATTTATTTTTCTATGAAAGCAAATGGGAGAAATCAGAATAGAACAGGGCTTCACGGAAAGAACACTTCTGGCACGGGGCAAGTATTGGCTTTGCAACATTGTGAGTGGTAAACCCAGAAAGTTCTGGGACTCAAAAACTGGGTCTCACTTCATCTTCACCAACAGGGGAGGCAGGAGATGGGTAGCAGATGTGCAGAAAATGTTAGAATCACGGAAAGGACCAGTGAGGGTTTTGTTTTCTGAGATGTTCCCGTGGGCTGTTCTATTTTTCTCCTTTGAAAGGGCAAAACCAACATGGGAACATGTCTTCATCTCTTTCTCTAATGGTGCAACCTAACCCAGGCTCCCCGTTACACACATGTCTCAATAAGAAGACAGTGTTGTTTTCCTATGGCAGCCTTTTATTCTGCAAGTTCACAGGGCCTGATCACATTAGTTCGTGATGTGAAATGGAAGAATCTCATTAGACCGTGGGCAGGTGGATATAAGGTAAAATGCAGTAAAAATACTAACTTACATTCAGGCTCACAAATCCTTCAATGTTTCCCACCTCCACACCGCCGTTATTCTCCGAGCCATCGTGTGCATGGCTCGGTGGACACGGCGGCCACTTCTAACTTCATTCGTTCTGATCAGCCTCCAGCGTGCTCTCTACGGGGCCAACTGAGAGATCTTGAAAAGCTACTCCAAGATGTCAGTTCTCAGCTTAAAACCCTCCAATGACCTCTCACAACACGTACGATAAAGATCAAAATCTTTAACAAGGGCTTCCCTGGTGGCGCAGTGGTTGAGAGTCCGCCTGCCGGTGCAGGGGACACGGGTTCGTGCCCCGGTCTGGGAGGATCCCACATGCTGCAGAGCGGCTGGGTCCGTGAGCCATGGCCACTGAGCCTGCGCGTCCGGAGCCTGTGCTCCGCAACGGGAGAGGCCACAGCAGTGAGAGGCCCGCGTACCGCAAAAAAAAAGAAAAAAGAAAAAACTTTAACAAACCTATGAGACGCTTTAGGGCAGTTCCTCACCAGCCAGCCTCACTGGCTTCATCTCAAACCATGCTGCTGCCCCTCTGCCCCCACCACACTGGCCTTATTTCCCTCCTTCGTGCTTGCCTACTACCTCCTGCCAAAGGGCCTTTGTATATGATACTGTATATTGTATATGTGACTCTGTCTGGACCCTCCTTAATGTGCTCTTCAGCTAGTTAAACCTACTCATCTGCAATGATGCATCATTTCCTCAGGAAAGCTTCTCTTACTGTGAAGGACAGACACCCGTATTTGCTAATGAAACTACGTTTACAACATACATACAATCTCAAAATCACACAAAGGTGCACACAGTGATTTCTACATTATGCAAATCTCTCTCCTGCCTGGGACCTGTCCTGTCCCAAACTCTCTCTCCCTCCACGTCCCTCACTACTCAGCAGCAGAAAAGCCAGAGGAGACTTTACCTGTTTTCATGTCCCTGCAGCTGAAGCGGCTGAGGAGCTGGCTGGGCGACAGGACTGTTGGGGGTGGCGGGGCTGGGCTGGGCCAGTGGGCTGTGCTGCTGGGCCAGCGGGCTGTGCTTCTCGGAGCTGGGCGCCGAGGCCGGGCTGTTGAGCTCTGCGGTGGGAAACCAAAGAGGCAAATGCAGTCAGGATGGCATTTGATAAAGGGCAACAGGTGGCCAGAGTTTGTTCCTCTGCCTCCTCATGTGACTCAGGGCTTTGGTTCTTCCAGTTTCTGTTAGGTTTTAAGACAGCAGCGTAGACTTAGCAAGTTCTAAGACCGCTCCTGGAATTAGTATTCTTCCATTAATCACGAGGCTGCTGAACAAGGTTATGAACACAATCTCTCGTCATTTTGTCAGAAGAAAAGATTACCATGAAAAACTTATTAAAACGATGAAAAATAATTCAAAGGAGTAAGCTCTAAAATATATTCTATTTGTTCCAGCATTACTTGCTGCAAGAAAAGTGTTTTAGCCACTACTTTTTTGGTTGTAACGAGAAGTCCTACCAGTATTCCAAAGTTTGGATAAGGAATTAACCATAAGAAAAGTAAGTGCTTTTCACAATCCTTTCTTCAGTTCCTTGTTAGTCTTATTGCCTAATAACCCTCTGTACTCCATGGTTCTCTGGAAAGAGAAAAGAACATTGGACAGAGGAAGGTTCGTAAGTTGTTCTCTGTTAAAACTGCTTCTTGGTCTTTCTTGTTTAGCATCAAATTTTCAACTGAAGTTATCTCTCCATGTTGGAATAAGAGCAGGACAGACACATTGCATACTGGGAAGGGAGAAGCAAGTCTTTTGTGACCAATTTTGATTAGAGTTAACTTCTGTTGAATATTTTATACATAATGTTTTCTTCAGATAACAAGTTAAAAATGGTCTTTTTTTTTTTTTTTTTTTTTGACTGGGTGACAAAAAAGAAGTGATCTATTAGCATTCCCTTATAAATCACTCTCCCCTTTCTTTGCTCTCACCCTAAATTTTAAAATTTCTCCTCCACTTGTATCAGGGTTTCTCAACCCTGGCACTACGGACACTTGGGGCCAGATAATTCCTGCTGCGGTGGGTGGTCCTAGGCTCTGTAGGATGTTTACAGAGCAGCATCCTTGTCTTCTACCCACTAGACACCAGTAGCACCCCTGGCCCAATCATGACAACCAAAAATGTCTCCAGACATTGCCAAATGCCCCCTGGGGGGACAAAATCACCTCCACTGAGAATCACTGTTTTCTCTTTATAGTCAGGCGGCTGTTGATGTCTGCTTGTTAGATAGTCCCCAGAGGAAAGGAGGAGACCGAGTAAACCAGAGGGGACAGAGGTGAGTGAGCCCATCCTTCTCCATGTGGGCACTGTGGTCCACTCACCAGCGAGCTCCAGAGGCTGAATTCCCAAATGTCACTAATGAGCCAGCAGCTAGTAATGAACCCACTGTGTCTGGAAATGGTGAAGTGATGGTGAATCGGTGCTCAGAGAATTCCGTGGTCCCTTAAGGCTTGGTTGTGAGTTGTAATGCTCACTACTCCTCAAGCCTCAGGGGGGAGTCCTTGCACAGAGAAATTCAAAAGGCTAAGTGGAAATTTAAAATTCTTATCAGATGCAACATTTCCTAAATGAGCTCTCTTTATACCACAACTTCCTCAAGCTTTTCAAAATCGATCTTTGAAGAATCCTCCAGAGCTTAACGGCTAACATGATTTTTTTTTTTCCGCCAGATTTGTAACTTTATCATCTCTGTTGAATGGGTTCTGGCTTAATATAACCATAAAAACAGTACTGCCGGGACCAAAGGGAAAGACTGAACAAGCCAGTGCCTTGGGATTCACACTAGTTATCTACAACACCATATAGCTTGATCTTTGAATGAAACTGGTATTGAGTAAACAGGATATGGGTTGCAGCAGAGTGTTAATTTTTGCAAAAATGGAAAAAACAACTTCTGATGTTCTGACACCCTGACCGCAGCCAGGTGGGCTCCACGACCCCAGTGCAGGCACTCACCCTCCTGGGGAATGATGCGAAGGGTGACACTAAGACCTGCATCCTTGATGAGCTTCACGATGTCAGCGTGAGGCATGTTGATGATAGACTGGCCGTTCACTGCTAAGATCCGGTCTCCCACTTTTAGTTTCGCACAGCGATCTGCGGGACTCCCATCAATGATGCGTCCAATTTTATGTGGCACAGCTACAGAAACATCCCCAACAGAAACAGGTATTAGGGGCATGACCAGTACATGTTTTACCTTTGAGTATCAGCCGCATACGAAACAATGCAATATCAGAATTCTTCCTTTTGTCAGTGTATTTGCCTCTTGAGATTACAATCATCCCTATCAAGTACAGCTCTGTGCATACTACTGGCACCGGAGTCTCTAAATTCAAGTCCTTTGCAGTGACGGGCTAATTCCAAACACATGGACCATCATAATCACCCTAGGATTAAAAATACAGCTCTTTGGGTCTTATCCTAGACCTTGCAAATCAGAATGTTCATGTAGGAGGGGAGGACAATGGATTTTCAAGAAGCTCCTCAAGAGATTCTAATACATGCAAAAAATTGAGAACCACAGACGTCGAACACTGTGCCCAAAGAGCTCATACTCTGGGGACAACAATACAGTTCAGAAAAATATAATAAATGCTGGGAACCTAACATCTACCCTTTTCTGTTTTACTGAGAGGAGAAAACAAGAAAGGGAGAAAAATACTTATATGGGAATTACCCAGCTGGTGAAGAAGTTATGACCAACTTCCTACTTATCTACTAAGCTGTAGTTTAAAGGCTGATGCAGTTTTCAACTATTACCTCTTCTTTCTGATTCAATGCAAGTGGTGCTGAGATCTTGCTAATATCTGGTAGATAATATATTTCATCAAATCTAAGATGTCATTGATGCTAAGATATACCTTTCTTTTATGGACAACAAGAAAGAAAAATAGAAAAAAAAACAACTCTGGCAATTAAACAATGACACTCTGACGTAACATGCTAATTTCTGAAATATTAAAATATGAAAAATGTGTTACAATTGATGAAATATGGTATATGTCTCTTTAAAACAATGAAAATTCATTTTCTTTTTCATTATTCATTTATATATGTGGGGAGAGCCAGGTTCTTGGGGATATAGATTTTCTAGCAGGTTGACTCGTATTCAATGTCATTGTTTGAGTTCCTACCAGGTTATCTGTTCCTGGGGTTGGACATCAATAGTGCACAGTGTCCCTATAAGTGCCCTCAAGAAGCTGACCATATAGAAAGCTGTTTCCTTTCCTTTTTTCCTCCATGACAGGAGCCCCAGTGGGGAAATTGCCTGTCAATGACTTGTTGCTCTCCCTGTGGAAGTCAGGGACTGATTTCATCTGCATAAAGAGGCAAAGACGCACTCCACCGTTCATTATGCTCCAGGGATGTCTGTACCTTGAACTCTCAATCTTGTGTATGTGTTACAGTGAAAGGCAGAACATGGCTAATGGCCATGGTAAGGAAGGACAATCAGAGAGTTAATGAACCAATACCTTGATCATATTTCTGTTGTGAAAGGTTACAGGTAGCATATAAAAATACCGGCTGAGCCTGCATCTCTGAAGTGAAGCTAATCATGTTGCAAGCTCAAACACAGTTTTATTTACCACAAGCATGGATGGCTTTAATTAAGAACACCTTACTTACAGCATACTAATGATCCTTCGACAGTCTTAGGACAATATATTGCTCAAGTAGAAATGTAATAAGAACTCATTCATTTACTAACTGCATAACATGATATGGGTGTTGCAAGCTGTTTGGGCTTCACCCGTAATTAGAGTGAACTTTTGTTGCTGTTTTTGCCCCCTTTCATGTTCAAGAGTGTCCTGGAACAGTCAATAAATGATATGATCTCCTGGGTCATAATGCATATATTGTTACCTATCCCGACCTTTGAACAACTACATGATCTCTCTGAGTTTCTGTATTTCAACAGTAAAATTGGGATAATAATATAGTTGCCCTCACAGGATGGTTCTGAGGAGTAAATGAGTTATCATACATAAAATGACTAGAACAGTGCTTGGCATTAAGAATTGCTAAGTATTAACTTTTCATTCATTCTTTTTATTACGATTATTTTTAAGTGTTTCCGATATCACGGTTGATGTGTGTGTGTTTGTACGTAGGCACCGGCTCGAATTCTGTCTGCATGGGGTAAACCTGTAACAGCTAAAACAGCTTCATTTGGGAAAGAGAGATATGTTTTGTGGAAAATGCAGACACTAGATGAGGTCAAGAATCCTGTTTGCTTCTCTCAGGTTTCACAAAAAAGGTGTTGCCGGTCTCTGTAGGAAAACATCAACTTATAAGTAAGAGTTTATTATCCAAAGGGAAATCAGCATAATACAGATCTCTTCTGTATATGACGCATTAACCACATTGAGCCTTATACACACACACACACACTATTATAACTACATTAAAATAAATACAATTTGATCTTTAACAAACCATATGAGATACCTGATAGCATTATCACTGCATGTTTACGGTGGAGGAAACTGAGGCATGAAACAGTCTGCAATTTGCCCAAGGTCACATAGGCTGACCAGGGTTTAGAATCCCAGACTGTCAGATTCCACGGCCTTTGCGCTTAAGCAGAGCCCCATGCTGCCTCTCTCGCCCTCACCATCTCCTCCCTCCACTCAAGCGCTCCCTGAATGCCCAGGGCTTTCATTTGGTGAGTGCAGGCTGCCTCTAAGGAGGGAATCGTAAATGCTTCACCAGTGGCCCTGATTCAGGGGAGAGTGAAAGGCAGGAGCTTTGCTTGAAGTGGTTTCTTTGTGGCTGCTGCCTTTTGACAGGCAAGGCATGAGGAGAAGGGGAGGGGAGAAGAGGGTGGAGAGGAGAGAACAGGGAAACTGGACAGCTCCTCATGCCATTTAGCGAGGACTTCACATCGTAGTGTCGTTCCTTTGAAGTAATTTCTTTGGGTATTAGAAACACTCACATTTGAAATGAAATTTAAAAATACATTTCAAAACACATGCAAATGATATATGGATGATTTGCTGTTTTGAATTATTCATGCCTCTGCTCCCCTCCATTACTGTGTATCATTTATAATTTACTGGGCATGAAACTCCAAACGTTTCCAAACAAGATTTCGTACACACACAGACACAGACACAGACACACACACACACACACACACACACACACTAAGCTATTACTTGTTAGTATCCAGGGACTGTATTAGGAACTTATTTTAACTCCTTACAGCTACAATGTGAAATAGCTGTAAAAATTTAATAATCATGTTTATTTAACCATTGAGAAAAGAAAGTGTCAAAGCCAGGATTCAAACCCACACCTGTGGCTTCAAATCTCGGGGTTACTTCCTTCTTTTTGTAATATGTGGCAGGTTGAAAGCAATTTGAATTATGAGGAGTGAAGGACTGACTGATGAGACTTAGCTTAGGAAGCATGCTGCTTGAGAGTTCAAGATGAAAGTTTCATTCTAAATAGAATTATTTGCATATAGTGATAACGCTTAGTTTCAAGGCCGTTTTCACTTTATTAGGGTACGTCGCATAAAAACTAAAATAAATCAATAAAATCCAAGATAAAAGAACGAGAACTAAAATAAATTCTATGGCAGACCCATGGAACGATGGAGTGGCTTACGTAATATCTGAATGAGTACATGATGTAGAAATGTACATCCAGTCATTGAAGTGCTTCAAATGGTTTTATTCAAATTGTTTTCTATTGGCATTTACTTTAATAAAAACAGTATTTGAAACTCTTGGCAGCTGAAGACAGCCTCACCTTCCTTTACCAGCATTTCCCCTACATGTGTAAGTACATCAAATGCTGCTGTACAACAAATCATTGACAAGGGGTGTGCTCAGAGAAGTTTCTCTCCGAAAACAAGACGCAGCTCCGTTTGCTCAATCCTGAGGTCTACAGAGCTTATGACCTAAGTGCTTTCTGTGCATTGCTAATGGAATTACAGAGCATGGAGGAGGCCCTGACCTTGGTTTCTATTATTGGGATGAATGGTACTCATTAATGCTCTTAGAATTGATGACTGAGGTAATGCCGGAGCACAGTCCATGTAGACAGCATGCCTTCCAGACATCGTCTGTCGGGCAGCAACATAAATGAAGTCTCTGGGTAAGGCTTCTTGACACAGTGTGCTTAGGATACGCAGATATTTGGGAAAAGTTGCAGTGTCATGCGGCTTCGGACATACTGACATTTGGGAAGGAGACAATGTATTACCAGTTAGAAATATCCCTTTAGTTGCAAATCACATAAGTTCTGGAAAAAGAAACCCGTCTTTTTTGTTTCTTTATTCATTTCTGGGTAAAACACTACTGTGCACTTACACTGCAATATGTTGTATATTTTCCTGTAGATAAATTGACTCTTTTGGCACTGCCCAACACAGAACACTTGTTTTAGTAGGAATGTCCAGACATAATCAGTTGGACCAGATGCTAAGTTAGTTCTGAAGGCCTGGACTCTTTGGGGCTTTAGCCACAACCACTACAGGAAGCAACGATCCTCCCTTTTGGCTGTTGGTTTCTCTTCTGGGACCATTTATGGTCTATCCAGGCTCCTTCAGCCATTGGTCAACCAATGAGCTCTTGTGTTCTATCTTGGGTCAGTTCCCATAAAGAAGGTGGGAGGGTTTTTTTTTTCTTTCGTGTTTTCCTCCTGAAGTTTTTGGTGGTGGGTTATTCGTGAGATTATTAGCTGCACCACCCTGGTGGAAGGGAGTAGTGGATCTCCCTCCCACCTTTCCCCCCGTATTTCCTTGTTGTCTTATAGGTATTCCATTTCAGAGACGGAAGAGCCTGAGACTCATATTTACATTTAATTATCTCCTTCTTAACAGATTCCACAAAGTGGAGTTGTATATGGAGGAAAGCATTATATGGGGAAAGTGAATTCTGCATCAATCATGTCAAACTAACAAGCGAGAAGTTTCTGAAGTGAACATGACAAAAATAAACACTTCAAAGGCAAACGGTAGCATAAACTGTCGTTAGCTCACAATTCCATTAATTTGTGAAGGTTAAACAACAAGTCATTAGCTTAAAGAGGCAAGAGAAGTTAGTTTGGGTTTAGAATCTATGACCTGGCATGAAAAGAAAAAAAAATTTTTAATTGGATGATTCCAGTTGGTTTTCTTAAAATACTCT